TTGTCCACTTTAGCATCCGACCTAGCACTGATTTAAATATTAGGTTTTGCCAAGTTGGAGCAGAAATGGAATATCCTTTCTAATTATTTTCTTTGAAAATTTTGACATTTTGTATGGGAGGTACCAGAAGGAGTGGACCGATATTGCCCATCTCCGAACTCGATCTAAGTTTGACAATAATATTATGACGTACCAAGTTTGGATCAAATCGGATACTCCCTTCGAGAGTTATCATGAGCACCAGCCAGCCGGACGGACATCGTTAGATCGACTCCAAATGTCCTAAAACGGATTTGGCCCCAAGAGACCTTGGGTCTAAAACCTTTATTTCGATGAGGCACGTGTTAGCCTCTGAGTCGAGATTGACTCACGTATGCCATAGATATGAGATTTTAGCTCACAACTCTGGCTAATGGAGTTTTGGCATGAATACTATTAAGGTAATGATACATAAGCAGCTTGGAGGCCACATATAATGTAGACTCAAAATGTAAAAAAAAAAAATATGATTTGCAACTATTCGGTTCGGTTCGTACAAATTGGATAATGCATATCAGACAATACATTTTAATTTATATATAGAGTCTTGTGTAAACAAAACCAAGTCGGTACTAGGACTTATAAAACGCTGGTCAAAGAATTTCGATAATCCTTATGTGACCACACGTTTATTTATCAGCCGTGTTTGACCCACTTTAGAAAATGGCGCGTGGTTTGGAGTCCTTTCTATAAATTATATTCATAAAAGATAGAATATGCAATAGAATATGCTTAAGATGGAATTAAAATTAATTTCTCCCACCGCCTTAAAGTTATCTCAAATGTATTCTGAGTTTTTAATTGCGTGAAAAAAATTCAATATCCCTTCGCGAAGTACACATCGAAGTATGAACTAAATAATCCCCTCCGCTGATTATTACAAGTTATATAATATGATTTCTTTGTGTAAAACAATGCATGTCATAAAAACTCTATCCTACGTTCTTAGTATGTAAAAGTGTTGCCAGGCTTAGTTTTTGTGTAGCTTAATATTTCAAATTGTTTACCCGCTGATGCTCTAATGCAGCCGATTTCTCAATCCTACTAGCCCCCTATATAATCCGGATCCCTGTCTCGGCAGGGATGGGAAAGTGAGGCGTTGGGAACGATAAAATCAAAAACATCTCAAGTTCTGGATGGATTTCTAAGGTCTTTATTATAAAAGGAGGATTAAAATCTGCAGTTGTTCGAAATTGAGTGGCAAGTTTACAGCTTTAGCGATGTAGGTGTTGTAGATTTCCCTTTACAGAGCAGAAATGTGCAATGTGATGTAATCCTACTAAACATACTTCACATTCATACATACATTCCACACCGGCCAGTGGTAATTACGTGGAGCATGTTCTTGTTTGTTTATGGCATCGTAAACGTCAGATGACGTTTTATAAAACTTTCTTTTAATTCTTTCCTTCTCAAATGCTTCTGGGTGGTATTTCAGTGCATATTTAATATATGCCTAAACAATGTTTAGTACCATGTGTTTAGATCCATGCACTAGCAGGAATATGGTAAAGTAGATACATACACATGTCTATGAGTCTCTACACCCAGACTTTTGCAATTAAACACATGGTTCTTTTCACTCGTTCGTTGAACGACTGGCACTCGCCTCGTTCCACCGGCCCACTCACTCGCCTTCTGGCCAAGTGGCGTTCTGTCTTGCTCGCATACCATCTCAAATGTATTCATTAAATTTTTTTGCAATTTATTTTCCATTTTTTCGTTTTGCTTTTCTTATCTTCTTTTATAACGTTCATATGTACGTCGTTCGGCTGTTGTGCTGATGTCGCCGCACTGTTATTGTTGTTTTGCTCTGTCGCTGGCTGGTTTATTGTATTCAGAGAAGTCCCCCATCTCTCTTTCATCGTTATGGCATAGAAGTCTTGTTCTTCTTCATGCATATTATTTATTTTTTTTGCTTTGTATGCCTTTCTACCGCTGCTCCTAACTGCTGTTGGTGGTGGTGGTTCTTTTGTGTGCCGTTTTTTTTTTGTTTTTTTTGAAAGGTTGTGTACTTTTCGACCTATGCTAACCAAAGTTCCAACTAGAATTCTCACATGTTAACCTTCAGAGTTTTGTATTAATTCTGTAACGTAATCGCTTGAGGTTTCTCTTTGTGCTAGTATTTTGTTTTCCATTCCATTGTTGTTGTTGTTGTTGCTGCTGCAGTAGCTGGTGTTGGTGGCATTCTTGCTATTGATTGTCGTCGCTGATGCATTTTTCTGAAGAAGAAGAAGAGACCTTTAATAGAAATGACATGAATGTAAATAGTCGAGATGTCGTATTTAGGCATGCACACACCGTACGGTGGGGTGAAGGATAGAAATGTTTGTAAATATAAAGGTACATACCTACATAGGTATCATGGATGCTATTCTGCATTTCGAAATATAACACTTTAATATGGACATTGAATATCTAAAGTTATATTAGTTCCGTTATTATATTTAGAGATTTGAAAAAATTAATTTACAAATAGATATCTTCAGAATGGATAATGCTGGAGAATATTTTAAAGATACATTTTTATAAATGATAATTGAAAATTTTATTTTGTATTTGTAATAAGTAGGTTTTGAATTTATGTGTTCATATTTTACTGGAAATTGTTCATATTTTACCAGAACTTGAAGGATATGAAGATTTTTACTACGATAACCAATCTTCCCTTTATGATATCGAAATAATATTGCAAAACTGGCAGATTATTGTAGGTTCTGGAACAGAGCATCTGTGTGTCTAGCTAAATTATTATAATTTTCAATTTAACTGCGTGTGTTCTTTATCGGGAAATATCTCAACAACAATCCCATATACAGGATGAGATGAATAAACTGCAACCAACTTCGGACTGCTGTCATTTCTAAGCCAATCGTCCGACAGCTATTAAAATTATTCCAGTGGCAGCTCATTATATCGTTTACAAGCGTACAAAAGCATTTTGGTTAGAATTTTCCAAAAAAAAAGTTTTTCGTGATGGAATTCAAGCGTGAAAATGTGATTTCTTTATATTTGGCTGGAAAACCACAAGTGGCTATCGTTAGAGCACTCCAGCATTTAAATGTGAATAAGTCTTTTGTGTTTCGTATCATCGCTCGTTACCGTGATGCTGGTAGCGTAGCCCGGAAGAAAACAGCAAGACCAGCAGTAATGGTTCGAAAAGTATAGAAGCGACTTGATCAAAACCCGCGTTGCAGTGGCCGAAAAATGGCTCGTGAGCTGAACGTATCGCAATATTCCATTCGGCAAATATTGGAAAATAAGCTCGGGGTAAAGCCATTGAAATTCCAAAAAGTGCAAGAACTCATACCGCAAGAGAAAGAAAATAGACTCAAAAGAGCTAAAGACTTGCTTCGCTTTGCCGAAAGTGGGGAACTGCCAAATTTGGTTTTCTCCGATGAGAAAACATTCGTTGTCCAGCAGTTTGTATACAAACAAAATGATTGTGTTTCCATGCCAAAGAGGTCAGCTGGAAATGTGCACCTACGAACTCAAGCGGCGGTCATGGTGATGGTGTGGGGCGCCATAACAGCCGATGGTCACTCACCGATCGTATTAATCGACCTTGGCATCAGAATTAAAGCCGAAGATTATTGCGAAAATATTCTTGAGGGTGTATTAAAGCCTTCGGCAAACAAACATTTTTGCCGCAGACCTTGGACATCCCAACAAAAATAGTTACAAAATGAGGTTCGTCGCTTCATTTCCAGCGCACAGTGGCCACCAAAATCTCCGGATTCCAATCCGTTGGATTATTGTGTCTGGAGTATTTTGGAAAGCAAGGTAGGCACTAAAAAATACCAAAGTGTCGAATGCTTCGCCGAGAATGGGCCAAAATACCGCAGAGCAACATTCGGGCAGCGTGTGACGGTTTCGTTGGCCGTTTGAAGGCCATAGTTCTTTTTCGAACAAATCTAAACTTATTCTAAAATTTGATGCTATTTCCGACATTTTTTGCTTTCATTCAATAAGATTTAAAAGAATGTGATAATTATGGCGTTTGATTTGGTTGCAGTTTTTTATCTCAGCCTGTATATTGAAGCATATTGCTCATTAGGGTTTTCTTAAATGCTTTAAGGTTGGAAATACATAAAGCGCATATTTGGCTGGCTTAAGTCATAGGTTGACTTTTTGTAGATGAACAAAGGTGTTTTAGGTTGACTAAGTTCGATTTTGGCCCAAGGCCCCTTTGTTCATTTCCGAAGAAGCCAGCGGATGACTTAAGGCTGGAAATACATAAAGCGCTTACCTGCTGGCTTAAGTCATCGGCTGGCTTCTTCGGAAATGAACAAAGGAGCCTAGGGCCAAAATCGAACTAAGTCAACCTAAAACTCCTTTGTTTATCTACGAAGAAGCCAGCCTATGACTTAAGGCTGGAAATACATAAAGAGCATATTTGGCTGGCTTAAGTCATCGGCTGGCTTCTTCGGAAATGAACAAAGGAGCCTAGGCCCAAAATCGAACTAAGTCAACCTAAAACTCCTTTGTTCATCTACGAAGAAGCCAGCCGATGACTTAAGCCAAACAAATATGCTCTTTATGTATTTCCAGCTTAAGCCAGTCAAATATGCGTTTTATGTATTTCTACCGTAAGGCTTTTCAAGTACTGACCATTTGTACGCTCATCATTTATAATAAAATCAGACTCTCGGAGTCAGATCTGTACAATAGTGGAGATAATTCCGATTTTTTTAGGGGCGACTGAAGTAGAAAAATAACAATTAAGTTGAGAAAATATAGAAGACTTTTCATTGACTTAAATCAACGGTGGGATTCTTCTTAAAAGAACAAAGACTCGTAGGGTGAACCAATATAAATGATGGACCAAAATCGAACTATATCAACCTAAAACATCTTTTGTTCTTTTATGAAGTCTGTTCTTTTGTTCCCTTACGATTTATGTCAGTCAAAAAAGCATTAGGGCGGAAATACATAAAGTGCATATTTGGTTGGCATAAGTCATCGACTGGTTTCTTCGTAGATGAACAAAGGAGTTTTAGGTTGACTTAGTTCGATTTTGGCCCTAGGCTCCTTTGTTCATTTCCGAAGAAGCCAGCGGATGACTTAAGCCAGCCAGATAAGCGCTTTATGTGTTCCCACCTTTAGTGTGATTTGACTTGTTCAGTCCTGCTCTAGAGTAACGAGCTGTGCCCACACGGGCCAAAATATAATAATATAATATGTCGGTGAAAATTTTTTAATCACAATACGGGGCACCTCAAATAGATGCTATATGTGTACGAGTACGTATCTAGCAGAAAAAATCTTCCAACTAAACAAAGCGCCGCCATAAAGCCAGGCATGTGACACATAGCACCCAAACGACCTAACCTAGTCCCTAATCGGATGGCTCTGTATTAATCATCCATTCATACACAACTGGAGTGGAAAGTTTCTTTTTGTTGCCTTCGTCTTGTGCTGCTGGGAGAAAAAGCAGGCCGCTGCCAAGTTGCAGAGATTCGAAGAAGTAAACAACAACAACGGCTGTTTTCATCGGAACGGAAAGGAAGTAAAAACAAGCAAAGAGCACTGCTTCATTTCAATGTTCAACTTAACTTTCTTCATCTTCTTTTTCAGTTTCTTGTTGGACTTTATCTCTGTTTCGGCGTTTTTTATGGCTGTCTGTCTATCGGTCTGTTGGTCGGTTGATTATTTGTTTCAACGTTGGTTCGTTCACTCGCTTCCTTTTTTTTTTGGCCGCGTTGTTGTGTGAGTAATCATCTGTTTTTCATTGTTGTTGGTTGTTATTACTTTTTGCTGGCTCTTCTCGATTTTTATTTGGTTCAGCGTGCGCCTTTTGTTTGGATGGTAAATGCGAATGACGACAATGGCGATGACTTACTTCCCCCCCCTAGCTTGATCGCATTAAACTAAAAATTGTATTTTGTTTACATACCAGAAAATAAACCAAAAACAACAACAACAACTAAATGAAAATTTCGCATCTTCTTCTTCCAATCTCAAATCTCTGTTTTGCGAAAAACAAAATGAAACGAAACGAAACAACGGAAAAAGAGAACACAACAAAAGCGCCATTAGCAGACACATTAATTTATAAATTGTGTGCTGCTGTTGTTGTTGTTTTCTTTTAGTTTTGTAATTTCGTTTTTGCCATTGGAGCTTTTCCATGCTAATGGTGTTAAGCTATGAAGACTGCCGGTGGCAACGGCATCAGCAGCGTGGATACCAAATGGGTACAACAAAACGGGGAATGGGTTGGCAGTCGCAAAGAGATAAAGGTCTAGGGGCTAGGATAAGATAGAATCTCTGAAAGGCAGCGAATTTGCACGATGGGGGCACAAAAGAAGAAGAAAATGAGGCGATGTAGTTCACAATTATGGTGAACTCTCTACGTGAGGCCAATAATTTTCCTTTTGAAAAAAGAGAGAGAGAGAGAGACGACATCTAAAAGAGGGGGAAAAGTCAACGAAAATCTCTGCTGAATGCTTTAAATTCAAAAAAAAAAAAAAAAAACATTTGCAAGGAAACAGCGAAACTATAATAAATTATATATGCTGTCATAACACAGATGCCTCGAACCGGAATCAGTGAAAATAGCGGATAGAGTTGCCACATTATTTGCTTTAGAATTTGTTAACCATTCATAAGAGAGAGAGAGAGAGAGTCAAAAACCTTAAAGGGGGGAATACATAACGCGCTAATCTGACTGGCTTAAGTCATTGGCTGGCTTCTTCGGAAATGACCAAAGGAGCCTAGGGCCAAAATCAAACTAAGTCAACCTAAAACTCCTTTTTTCATCTACGAAGAAGCCAACCGATGACTTAAACCAGCCAAATATGCGCTTTATGTATTTCCACCCTTAATGTATGAATGAAAAATTAAAAAAAAAAAACGTAGAGGAACATAGGAGTTTTAGGTTGACTTAGTTCGTTTTTGGCCCAACGTTACTTTGTTCTTTTCTAAAGAAGCCAGCCGAAGTCAGTAAAAAAAAAACATTTTATATATTCTCACCTTTAAGGTGAAGCTCTTATTTAGCTCGCTTAAGTCATCGGCTGGCTTCTTTGGAAATGCCCAAAGGAGCCTAGGGCCAAAATCGAACTAAGTAAACCTAAAACTCCTTTGTTCCTCTACGAAAAAGCCAGCCGATGACTTAAGCCAGCCAAATATGCGCTTTATATATTCCCACCATTAGTTCTGTACATTCTAGGTGATGTTAGTTCTTGTTTAGACCTCGTTTGATTTTTTATTTTAAGGAAATCCCCCAGAATATCTAGGCAAATTCTTCACAATGCCGATAACAACCGGTAATGAAATTAAGAACAATTTGACTAAAAATATTTGTATACCCTCCATCATAGTATGGAAGGTATATTAAGTTTGTCATTCCGTTTGTAACACCTCGAAATATACATTTTAGACCCTACAGAGTATATATTATATGTCGTTTTAGCGATGTCCGTTCCTCTGTCCGTCTATCCGTCTGTGGAAATCACTCAAGCTTCCGAACGAAATGAAGTAGATTGATAAAATTTTACTCAAATGTATATTATGTCTGCAGGACTTTTGGTATTGAAAATGGGCCATGTAGATCCACGTTTTTGTATAGCCCCCATATAACGGTACCTCCCGATATTCGGTATTCTGATGATTTTAGCAACACTATTCACCGAAATTGTTTCAAATTTGGTATTTGAAGTTCGTAATGGATACTACAGCCTATGACAGGAGATTGTCTGTGAAGGTCCACGTCTTCGTATAGCCCCCATATAACGCTACCTCCTGATATTCGGTATTTCGATGATTTTAGCGACATTATTCACCGGAATTGTTTCAAATTTTGTATTTGAAGTTCGTAATGGATACTACAGCCTAAGACAGGAGATTGTCTGTGCAGTCCTCATTTTGGTATAGCCCCATATAATAGTACCTCCCTATATTGATGATTTTAGCTACATTGTTCACCGATTGTTTTTTCAAGTTTCGCATTTGAATACGTCCACGTCGTCGTCTTGACCCTTATATGACGGCTACATTTGGTATTTTTAAGATTTTAACAGAATATTTAATTTATTTTATTATTTTATTTATTTTATTGAAAATTGCCAAATTCATTTTAAATGGTGGAGGGTTCGGCCCGCCGAACTTACTGCTTGTTTACATGTTTTAGATTAAATTGGAATCTTTTCTTCTGAGGTATGTCCAAAACCGGCTTCGCGAACTAAAGTTTACTTACATTTAATATTTTTAAATAACCGTCAAAATATAAGGAAAGCACTTTTTTAAAATGCGGAGTCCTATATATCGGAAGTCATGGACCTACCTCTTAAAAATAGTTTGTTGTTGTAATCAGGATGCAAAAACCTACATGTAGTGACATTTAGAAGTTTTTATTTCGATTATCGGTTTAGAAATAGCAAAGAAAAAAGAGGTGCTTTTGCAACTCTGGATTCCTATATTATAGGAAATGATTGATTTTCCCCCAAAAAATCTCGTTGTGATTGGTATAAAAAAAAAATATAAAAATTTAGAATTTTGAAAATTTTCTGTCAAATAAATAAATAAATTTTAAGTCAAATAAAGTGGCCTCTTTTCGTAAGTAAATGGCGAATTTAACTCTAGTTCCCGTTGTTATGTACATACAAAAATATATGTACATAAGTTCAAATTACATATAGGAACTTGGTATACATATGTACAAAATTACTCCTAGCTAAAAAGACACTTCTTAATGGCACATGTGATTGTGCAAATGTCTCTGTAATGTGAATGGACAAAATACCCAGCAAACATTTTCATTTTGCTTCAAATCTTAGACATGATGAAGGTATACCTTAGCTTATGATAGAGGATGCAAAAATACATTTCTACTTTCTGCTCCCACTGTAGAACTTTCTGTTTTGATACGGTCGTTATGATACATGTATGTTATTCATATGTTTATATGTGTATACCTATGTACATCATATTATTATATATGACGCTCGTTATGTATCAACTTTTCTCCTGTTGGTGTGTGAGTGTGTATGTGTGGGTGTTTGTCGTGCAAATGTATGTTCTCCATTCGGTTTTATATTTCGCTAAAAGCAATTTGAAACAAGACAACAAATTCTTGAAAGTAACATAAAACCCCTCCATGATATTAAGTGCACTCAACGAAATTAATACGAGTGCATATAAATTCGTACGGTTGAACCTCGTTAAAATGAATACCCTTCATGTGTGCAAATTGTTTTCAAAATGTCTATGGAGATCAACTTTTTATACAGAGCGTACATCACTTGATAGATTTTAGAAGACTTGGGGTCGATCTGACCATGTCCCTCCAAATGAAATGTAATAAAAATGAATCGCTTAGGTGCCCTTGTAGAGCGAGTGATCCTAAATAAACAGTTAAACCCTTAATTAAAGAGGTGGGGGTAAAGTTTACCATCTCTTCACATTTTGTTGAAATTCTCTCTTCTATTGCGATGAATAAAAGAGATTTTTACTTATTGTAATTTAAAACAAGTACAAAAGCTGTAAGTTCGGCCGGGCCGATCTTTGAATACCCTCCACCATTTGGAACAATTTTGACAATTTAAAAAAATATAAGATCTTAAAAATGCCGAATGTAGCCGTTATATTAGGGTCTATACGACGACGTGGACATGCATAGGCAACTTTTGTCATAAACCATTACAATATTCAAATGCGAAACTTGAAAAAAATCGGTGAATAGTATAGGTAAAATCATCAAAATTCGGAATATAGGGAGGTACCGCACAGAAAATTTTCTGCCATAGACTGTAGCATCCATTACGAGTATCAAATACAAAATTTGAAGAATTCCGGTGGATAATGTCGCTAAAATCATCAAAATACCGAAAAAGGGAGGTACCATTATATGGGGGCTATACCAAAAAGTGGACCTACATCACCCATTTTCAATATCAAAAGTCCTGCAGACATAATATACATTTGAGTAAAATTTTATCAATCCACTTCATTTTGTTCGGAAGCAAGAGTGATTTCCACAGACGGACGGATATCGCTAAATCGACATAGAATTTTATGCTGATCAAGAATATATATACATTGTGGGGTCTAAAATGTATATTTCGAAGTGTTACAAACGGAATGACAAACTTAATATGTTCTCCATACTATAGTGGAGGGTATTTTTAAATAAACTTTTTATACCCTAGAGGTAAGGGTATAATGTCTTTGTGCATTTGTTTGTAACAGGGAGAAGGAAACGAGATAGACCCATAGTTATTTTTGAGGAACTTGATAGAATCACTTTTTGAGTCGATTTATGCATGTCCGTCTGTGCATGTATTTTTGTGAACAAAATGCAGGTCGCATTTATAATCCGATTGAGATGAAATTTTCCAAACACCATTTGTTTGGCCAAGGGCGAACCCTATTGAAATTGGTGAGAATCGTTACAAATTTAGATATAGCTTCCATATATATCTTCAACCGATTTCGGGTTAATTGTGCACCAAATGGCTTATATAAGTCCAAATGACCTGTATTTTGGTACATCCAACCGAATTCAGCCTAGAAGCAAGTACATCAAAATCGGTTCAGATATAGCCATAACTCCCATATATATGTTTCAATCGATTTGGGGTTTTTACATGCGTGATATGCACTCCACAAGAATGATCTTTGGCACCAGATATCATATACAGCTCTGATATAAGCATATCAAATGTTGCCAAAATCGGTTCAGGTTTGGGTATAGCTCCCATATATATCCTCAACCGATTTCTGGTTAACTGTACACCAACATCAGTCCAAATGACCTGAATTGTGGGACATTAGACCGAACTCAGTCTATAAGCAAGTACTTTGAATTTGGGGAAAATCGGTTCAAATATAGCTATAGCTCCCATACATAGGTTTCATCCGATTTGGGGGTCTAAGTCCCTAACATGCGTAATATGCACTCCACAACAATGA